ATCATTCTAGACAAATTCCACACTTTGTTTTTCTTCCAGAAGATCTCAACCAGGACTGCGAGAAAGTGCTCAAACTTCACTCCCTTTTGGAAATCATTGAAAAGACAATAATGGTTCTCCCTGCCTTCCAGCTGAGTAACGTTTACACTTCATTTAGCTTCTTCTCCCTACAAGCCTCCAGGCAGTATTGCTCTTTGGCATCAGGAACGACTAGGTCGTTGATGCCTATGTTCGGAGAGATTAAACGCAATTACTGGAAAGATCGCAAGAGAATGACGATCATCAACGGGATGCCATTCAGATGAATGAGTGGTTCAACTAGTAAGCGCAAGTAGTTATGGGGCACACTGCACATCAGATTATTAACCAAATGGGTGTCCGAATGAATGCCAACTTCCTCGTTTACTAATCCAGAGAAATGCAATTCGTAATAAGAGATAATAGCAGATAAAGGATGCTTAATACCTTCTTGGTGATAGGGCTCTGTTCTCATTTACAGGGTGCACTTTGATGGGCCATTTGTCTACTGAGTATTAGGGGTCAGCTCATTTCAAAATCAGCAGTTTCTCCTGAGCAAATCCTAATAGGCAAATGAAGTAGTCGTTTGCTCAGCAATAGGATGTCATAAGGTTCACTTAGGCAAAACTTGGCCCTTGTTTTGGAGGGAAAAGATGGATGAAAGCAGCATTTCCTTCGACTAAAACGTTACTCAACTTCTTTACACTGAGTCTCACATTTGTGAACATTCGATAGCTACTCTCAAATGTCAAGCATACGAATTTGAACGTCTTTTCCACGACTCAATAGGTTTAACAGAAGAGTTACACAAAAGTTTGGAAAACTCTTCGAATCACAGCTCTACGAAGTCGATTCGAAGGCCATCATTGAAGGGGTTCGTGTAGTTTTGCCTTTCTATATAGGACTGCTGTGCAGGGATCTACAAGTATGCACCAATTAGTCGGAAAGCGAAATGGATACGCCGTGGTTTTTTCATATAGCCAAACAAGAAGGGGTACTGTAGTTGCTTTTTATAATTGTGACCCTGCTGTTCGAGGACATCGAATCAGACGAAGACACCCACGGAGAGATAGCTCGATTAAACAGGCTAGTGTAGTGAAGTGCAAGAAGCCTTCGTAACACACACATTAGCCTACAAGATCGGGCACCCCAGGTCCATACAAAACGGACTACAAGCTTACTCTGAACTGCATATCGTATGAGCCTTACCTATGCTGGCCCATCAACAAAATCTGGATTTCTCGCAGAAAACCTAATGACTGGGACTCCGAGTGATGCTGATTCAAAGGAACATCAATTGAGTGTGACTTTTTAACTATGTTTGTATATTAGCGTTTTATATACGCTTCCTCACAGGGCTAGGATTTACAATTTTTGAAAAGAGTGACTCAAATGTGGCAGTTTCCGCTGAGCCTGAAAGAAGCTATCAGTAAGCTCACTCACCAATTGACACGTGTCGTGAAGTACCAAAGAACATGTAGAAAAATGCAGGAAAACACGACGCGTAGAGACCGTAGACAGGATCGACCCCGGCCAGAGCAGAATAGGCAATACCTGAAGGTTTGTGAGTAATCACAGTAAGGGAATGAGGATATGGCTAGGTGATTCTCACCTTGAGGCACATGCATGATACCAGTAGTAAGTCCTCCGATGATGTCATTTACTAGATATTCCTTGACAGGATATTT